CACAATAAAAATGAGATTTCATATTTCCCCCTTTGAGAACAAGAATTTAGTCTGTCAGATTTTTCTAATAAGTGAAAAATAGAGAATTTTGAGAGTGCTTAAGCGTTTAACTACAAAGTAGAAATTTAAATACCTCATATTCTGATAAAGTTGACCAGTGTTCATTATTCAAGAAGTTTTTGTTTTGTTTTGTTTTTAGTTAATGAGAGCAGCAGATGTGTGCTTTGCAGTGTGTAGTCTTTTGTCTTTCAGTCGTGTGACATCCAGATTTGAATCCTTCTATTTATATCAGAAAGCAGTCTGGGGGAATCTTCTGAGTCTTGAAATGAAGATCACATTGTTTTTGATATGATATGTTTTTGATGTAAAGCACTACTTTTTATTCTACTCTTTGAAAATTGGCAATCTTTATATAGTTATAGTAACTCTTTAAACCAGAGACTCTCACCAAGCTAAATAATAGAAAATTATTGCATCCTCGCACATCATTTTTCTTCCAAAGAATTCATTTAACTTTCACACCTTCTATCTTCTGTTGTTACTGTAGACCCATAAGAGGGTTTTACAAATGAAGAAATGAAAGCACAGAGAGGATAAATGATTTTGGACTGTTGACACACTCGTTGGGATGTAAATAGGATTGACTCATATATTAATGAAAGAAATACTTTTCTGTGCCACTACCATTCTGGGTGCTGGGATGCAAAACAATGAGAGTCCTACTTGTCGAGGAACCTGCAGGTGTGGAGAAGGCAGACAGGTAATAGGTTATCAAGGTGGAGCATGCCACAAACTCCAGTGGGGTTGTCTTCAGGTCACCATGGAGCAGATAAGGTACGGCAAAGAATTAAACTAAAGGCCCCCAAAAGATTCCTGAAGGAGACAAGGTTTAAGCTGAGACTTGATAGATAATCAGAAGTTAATACAGGTCAAACAAAAAAATGTAGACAAAGTCAAATATCCAGGAGCTTCTCATTCGTAATTCTTTCCACTGAACCCCCATTGCTATGGAAAAATAAATTTGCAAAATAGAGTGTTACCATATTCATTTACTACATGCATTAATATTAGACACCACTTAGTCAAGCTTTTTAATTTCACAGGTGAAGACTGTAAAACCTTGAGATTTAAGTCACACAGCACTGCTCTTCCGTTTCAGTGAGGTTAGCCTGGCCCATGTCTGGTGTCTCCTTTCCCCGGCCTGAAGGAAGCCCATGAAACTTCAGCTCCTTTGGATGGTATTGGTGTCCCTGAGGGTTGCTTCGCATCACCCCTGTGTTTTGTGCCTTTAGCAGTTTCACGACCAAAGACGAGCTGGCACCTCAGCTACTGACTCCTGGGCTGATGGGAGAGTCTTCAGAGTCCTTCAGTGCCATGGAGGACGAAGGCCAGAGGGAGTACCCGGCCAGTGACTCCGACTCCGATGGGCCTATCTTGTACACCGATGAGGATGAGGATGAGGACGAGGATGAGGATGGCAGCGGAGAAAGTAAGACCATTTTCAAGAGATAGTGGGGAGGGTGGGTGGAAGACAGAAGCAGCTGTGTTTCATAAAGAACAAAAGCCTCATTAGGAACCAGCTGTTGAGGTTTTCTTTCACCTCATCTTCCTTTCTCAAATTAGAAACGTGTCTATCCTGAAGTTTTAGCTTTTGGTGATAGGTCTTTCTGGAACATGATGCCACCAGGGTGGGTCTGGCCTTCGTCTATGAGACAGATGTGCAGATTTGTATTTGTACAAAAAATCAAAGCTTTCTAATGACAGAGGCCTTTCTCAGTAAGACCAAAGATGGCCCTTCCACCCTGGGCCATTCTCGAAGAAAGAGCCCCAGAGCAGGATTCATTGGCTTATTCATTGGAGGTGTTCAAGATTTTCACGCACTTACCTCTTCAGAATTAAAAGCAGTCATTCATTCAATGACTTTAAGTGAGATAGTATGCCTTCTAGGAAGGAATGATACTAAAGTGGGTATAGCCTACCATTTATGTATAACTTAGGGAACTAGAAAGTACTGTTATTATATTTTTGTTAACTTTTGAGCAACATGACTCGGGAGGAATTCACTGTGGATTGAATTTATCGATTATGACAAGTTATTATGTGCTCAATTAAACAGCAGTTTGTTAAATTCTTTCTAATTTACATGGAGCAAAAAAAAAAATTGTTATCATCCATCTGGTATAAATTATCATTCACAGAGATTTTAAGGATTCCTGGGTAATTGAGGGTTAAAATATTGGTGTAGAAGGTAGACTCTTTCCCAGCAGGGTGTTACGGGGAGCAAAGGAGAACACGAGGATTAACTGTACAGTATAAGTCAAGGGGCTAAGTTTTTCAAACTTGAAAGAAAAAGCATTGTGCAATCAGTACTTTCCATGATCCACCATATCAGCAAAATAAACTTTAACCATCACTTTCCAAATGATGAGGTGATACTTCCAAGTTTTTTCATGGCGTCCCAATATTTTTCAGAACATTTAAAAAACGAATTCTTCAGTCTTTTCAGAATGAACTACAGCCAACTCAAAAGCTTTTTTTCCTTAGGTTAATTAAGATTCCCCTCTTGCATGTGAATAAAGAATTTGGTCTGGGCTCCGTTTAAAGTTCACGCCACGTGTGACCTGAGCGCCGTTGGCTAAAAGCCACTTTTTCTCTGCATTTCTGCGCTTTTCAACCCTCAGGTGCTCTGGCAAGTAAGATACGACGGAGGGATACTCTGGCGATCAAACTCGGCAACAGACCATCTAAGAAAGAATTAGAGGACAAAAACATCTTGCAGCGGACCTCTGAAGAAGAGAGACAGGAAATCCGACAACAAATCGGAACCAAGTTAGTCAGGTAACTGCTGAAATTTTAGGACAGTACTGACCAATTCCTGCTTTTCTTTCTCCCGTCGTTTCCTGCCTCACTGGGGTCCTTGTGAAGGGGCACATCTGGCCTATCTGGTCTTTTAAAGTTGGCCTTGGATGGTGAACCACTCAAAGAACCTGTCCTTTGCTCTAGCAGGCCAGTGGCTTTGAGGTCTCCAAAACCTACTCCAGGGGTCAATAAACTTTTTCTAAAAGGACCCGTTAGTAAATATTTTAGGCTTTGCTGGCCAGACAGTCTCTGTTGTAGCTGCTCCACGGTGCTGGTTGTTGCGTGAAAGCAGACATAAATAATATGGAAACATGAGTATGGCTGTGTTCCAGTAAAACTTTATTTACCAAAAAAAGTGGCAGGCTGGAATTGGCCTGCAGACCATAGTTTGCCCAGCTCCTGGCCTAATTTGTGGGCTCCCTGGTGTTCCCGTGAACCCGTGAGGTTCTGCACTGGGGGCTGGGAGGCTGTAGAGATACTAGTTAGCTTCAGTGGCCTGGCTCCATCCAACTCAGGTAACCATAGCTCTCATATCTAAACTTCCCCCCTCCAACTTCAAATAAATGAGTCATCTGACATCGCTTTCTGCCTCCAACCATCGTGTTAGGATTGCCGCTTTTGCCACTAGTGACATCGGAAGTCCATTTAACTGGCAGTTTTAATAGAAGTGAGTGTTCGTTCACACCGAAGCTCTCAGTTTTGATGATCAACTTAGCACATTTAAGAATTAGTTATTCTGCCGACTTCTCTCACTCTGCATATACAGCAGGGTACATGATTGGGAGGAGGGAATAGTCTGGAATACCAGAGCAGCATGTGGAGGTAGGAGGACATCAGGCTCCTTGCTTGGAAGAGGTGTGGCGGGAGGGAGAGGTGCATGGAAGGGTTCTGGGGGTCATTGACTGTTTCTCCAGAGGAACGGTAACCCCCTAAGAAACCTTCTTGTAGCCGAGACATGGGAAAAGATTTCAGAGACGGCAGCTGTGGCATCCATATGAAGGGAGGTCTCAGCCTAACAGAGGATCTAGGAGGGGACTGAGAGGGTCTCTGTGCAGGAACCAGTGGTCTCCTCAGTCTGGTCTTCTCACTTCAGCCCTAAGCTTTGACCATTTACTGCCCTAGGAAAGAGACAACAGAAGTAAAAGGAACGAAAGCGATTAACAGTATAGAGCTGGAAAGATCGTCAGGTTTAAACTTATCATCTCACCAAGCAAAAACAAGGGGCCTCTCTGAGGCCCAGAGAGATTAAGGAAATTTCTCAAGGACATGCAGTTACTTAGTAGCAGGACTGGGATTAGAATTTCATTCCTGGGCTCTTTGCCCAATTTTCTTTTTCACATTTTCCCCTGTTTTGTACTTTCTACACTATGTAAGAGAGTATATGCTTGTAGGTTTTTTGTTTGTTTTATTGCCCTTGTTTATGTTTTGCTGTGAAGAAAAATTTAAATCATTGAATAATATTTGCATGAAAGAATAATGCAACATAAGGTGTATCCCTTAAAAACAATATCATCATAGTTTATTATAGTAAGGGGTAAAAAGATGAAGAATTATATACCCATCTCAATAAATGTCAGGTGGCATTAAAGAAAATTTGGGGTATCTTTGTTAAAATCCTAAACAAATCAGGAGTAGAGGGTTTTTTAAAAATTATGCTAAATATCTTAGTATATGGAGAAATCCTAAAGTCGTTTTCTTTAAAAATAGAAGTAAAGATTTCCCACTCATTGTACTAAAAGTCTGGTCACAATTATTTGTAGTGAAGAAAAGTTATAAATATAAATTATGGCAAAGAAATACTGTTATTATATCCAGTTATATTCCTAGAAAACTCTGAAAAATTGATCAGAAATAGTTATATATAGTAATTTCAGCAGGTTCACATGATATAAGATTAATCTATAAAAATCAGCATCATATTCATATAACATTGGCACATAGCAAAAAAATACCATGAAAAAGGGAAGTTGTATTTATAGTAGCAGCAACAACCACATTTTAAATACTAAACTATTCATTTAACTTAAGGCCCAAGAAATCCATTTCCAGAAAATTGTAATGGAACAAATGAAAAAATACATGAGTGAATGGAGAGAGAGAGAGAGAGTAAACATTTCTATCAATGAGAAAAAGTCAGCAGACGGGTTTATCAGATGTGTGGGTGGCATGAAGTTCAAAGGATAACAGATGTACTTTGTAGAATCAGGGCATAAATGATGTGTTAATTCTATAAAGTGAAACCAAATAGAAATAAATGTCGCCTTTTTCAGTGTGGGCCAAAGGAAAACCATCCACCAAGACAGGTTGAGGGGCCTGTGGCCAACATTGGAGGCCCTGATAAAGTTAATGAGAATCACTCTGAGAGCCATCCTGAGAAGTGGCTGTTCGACATCAGAGTGTAGCCTTGCCCAGAACTGGCAGAAATACCGTCTGCAGAGCAAGGCAGGGGACAGCCCCTGGTTGGCTGCATCTGTAAAACAGAGCTAACCAGCCCAACAGCATGAGAAGATTAAAGGTGGTGATACATTTAAAGTACTTTAGTGCCTGGATCATAGCAAGCACTCAATAAAATTAGTTTCTTATTATTAATTTAAATTATTATACATCTCTTAAACTGTTAAGGCACATCTAAAAGTTAAACCCAATGTTGGCAAGTTTATGGGAAAATAGGACATTATACATTGCTCTTGTGCAGTATTTCTGAAGATTAACAATATGATAAAAGAATTATAAAGCAGTCTTTTTTGTTGCATGGTAATTCCATTTGGGGGACTACATAAGAAGGAAATAATCCAAAAGGAAAGAAAATGCTATGTTTTACAAAGATGCTTATTACAAGGCTATTTATGGCAATGACAGATTAAAACAAACGAAGTGCCTAGAAACAGAGGACTGATGAAGAACATTGTGAGAGGTTGACACCGTGGAATCCCTTAGAGAATCAGTTTTCTAACTGCTTCCTCAAGGATTCCTTGGAGATGATACACACGTGTCTACCAGGAGAGCCAGGGAAGTGTAGGTGTGTGTTTGGGCTGAGATGGGAGGAGACTTCTCTATCCCAGGTTTAACCATCCAACTGAGACATCTTCTGTCTCTCTTATAAATTAGGATTCTACCCCAACACCCAAAAGTTTGAAAGCCTTTGTAAATACGCACACAGACTATATCTATCAAAAATTTTAATGGAGCAGGATTTTTACTGTGATTAACATGTAAATTTTACAGAATTGGTTTTCTACAAACACTGCACATCTAATCATTGTCACTGAAAGATAAATTACTCACAGTTCCAGACTCGGGGAACTCCATGTCTAATGAAAAAGAGAGAATTATACAATATATTGCATGGCATAGTCGTGTGAAAAGCACAAGAAACTAAGTCAAAGGACCTAGGTATGAATCCTGGCACCCGCCTTCAGTAGTGTTTTGTCTTAGGCAAGTTAATTAATCTCTCATTTCCTCATCTGTAAAATGGGAACTGGCTGCTACCTTGCCGAATTGGTCTGAGGTTTCAAGACAATGTAAGTTAAGCACCGAGCACAGTACCTAGGACTTTAAAAGTATGAGTAAATAATAGCTATAATTATTGTTTTTATAATTACCTGTGTGATAAGTGCTTTAATAGATGTTTATAAACCACTGTATATGGGCAAAGAATCAGGAGCCTTTAATTCTCACTTGCAGGAGAGGTCAAACATTTACCTTCCAAGTACTGTTTAATCATTTGTAAGATTTCGGTAGGTGGAGAAAGAGAGAAAGGTATTCAAGAGGGAAGAAACTTTATAATTATTAATAAAAGAAGGATAGTATATTGGGGACATGATATAGAATACAGCGTGTTGGTAGTATAGATAGGTAGTATAAGGGTACTTGAGGGGCACAGTGTCTGGCTGGCATAGATGTTCACTGGGTTCTTTGGTGGATTCAGTTACTTAAGTTAATTTCAGGGTAGCTCTGATGAAGATTAAATTTTAACAGAATTTTTAATGTGATATTTAAAATACCATTAATGTCTATTCTTCGTACCATTTCTGTCATAGCTATAAATATTTAGAATTGGTTGATATTTTATTAAGATTACCTTTTATGTGTATTAATTCAGTTTGCACAAATTGAACCTACGTCCAGAGGAAGTTTTTCTCTGTGATTAACAACAAATTGATAATGTAAACAAGACCAAGAACTAAGTTATAAAGGGTTATTAGGACATTCAACTTTCTTGTACAAATAGATAGCTACTAATCACAAATGAACCTAGATTTTTTTGAAGGCAGATGGAAAGGTCCTGTAACTTTATATATAATAGATTCATTTGAGGTCCCAAAAGCAGTCTCTGTGCAGTGTAGATTGGTCATCTACTGAGTCGATATGAACTGGTTTTTTTAAAATTTGTCTTTTTATTTCTGTTTTTTAGAGACAAGGTTTTACACTGTAGCCCAGGCTGGAGTGCAGTGGTGCTATCATAGCTCACTGCAGCCTTGAACTTCTGGGCTTAAGCAATCCTCCTGCCTCAGCCTCCTGAGTAGCTGGGACTTATAGGCACCCGCCACTACACCTAGCTAAATTTTTTTTTACTTTTGTAGAGATAGGGTCTTGCTATATTGCCCAGGTTGATCTTGAACTCCTGATGTCAAGCCATCCTCCTGTCTCAGCCTCCAACGTAGCTGGGATAACAGGCATGTGCCACTGTGCCTGACTGTATGAACTCTTGAGCAGCAGCCTATTTTAGACTCTAATGATTTGTATATTAATCAGGCTTTTGGCTAAGCTGCTGTAACATAGACCAAAAAGTACAATGGTTCAACCAAGGTATGTTTATTTCTTCTTCACACAAGGAACCCAGGTTCCTTTTGTCTTGTTGTTCTTCCATCCCCTTGGATGTCTCATCTGCATAATCAAAGCTGGCTCACACCACCAGTAAATGGTATAAGTGTAAGTTATGGCCTGTGGAAGAAGGAAAGAGAAAAAGAGAATACGGAACCGGTCATTTTAAGAGTAAAAAGTAGAAGTTACCAATATGATTCTGGTCATATCCCATTGCAGAAACTCACATAACCACACCTGGTTTCTAGGGAGGCAGAAATCTGTCTATAGCCAGGCACCTAGCTAAAATTCAGGCAGATCTAGAAGGAAGAAGGGAGACTGAATAGTGGGGGAGTTAGCAGTCTCAGCCACAATCTGTAGTCTCCAAACTAATGGAAAGGACACTTATTTTATAGGTTTAAGAATTGATTTTTATTTCTCAAAACATGAAAAAATAGAGCTTTGTTGTTTTATTTTGTGTCTCTCACTAAGGGGGCCTGGTTTGTAACCTGTAGTATATCCTTTTTGTGATTATAGGAGGCTTAGCCAGAGGCCCACAACCGAAGAATTAGAGCAAAGAAATATCCTAAAACGTGAGTACCCTATACTGGACAGTGATTCCTTGAGTTACCATTACCATGCTGCCTCTGCAGATGATTGATTTATCAGTGAGAAACTATAATATATTAGCTTACTCACAACTGACTGAAATGGCCCATTGATATCATCTTCATATATTTTAAAAAATAATCTCTTGAATTTTGTATTTCATTTTGTGGCTTTGAGCCTGATATTGCCCAGACTAGAGTTGTGGTCATGACAACTGTTTTTAAGAAAGATGAAATACATTCCATGTATTCTTTCACCCAAATGTTAAATAGAAGAAAATGTTCTAGTCAACTTGCAAATATATGTCAAAGAAAAGGCCAAAAAGTCCACAAGGAAATAAATCAAACATTCCTATATTGTTTTTTCAAAATACAGTTTGTTGCTAGGTTTAACAAATGACTGAATTTAAGACAAATTATGGTAAAAGGCATTTTTCAATCCATTTCATTTTCCCTTGTGGTAACTCTGCTTCCCTCTTGAGTTGTTTATAATTAATTCCTCAGCACTTAAAGAGTTTGCCATTCATTTTTATACCTTATTTTCCCATTCAGTTTTTCCTTCTATTCTCTGTGATTTTACTTTTTTACTCACCACTCCAGTAGTATTTATTGGTGTTAGTGTGTTGAAGCTATAAAACTAACAGAGTGTCATGCTATTGTGTATCAGTGTGGTTACTAACTGCAGTGAGTTAAGAAGTGGGTTATTTTTACATTGAGCCTAGCTGTAGTGTTATATTTTATTAGCCCAGTTTCAAGGGAGCTTTTTCTTGTATGAAATATTAAAGAACAGGATAGTACTACAATAGGAATGAGCCACTGGCATGGGGGAAATCCTTTTCAACCAGGCTTTTCCAGTTGTCTTGGCCTGGTGGATGACCCCAGCTCTCCAAGATAAGTTAGTTTCTTTCCCAAAGGAAAGAAAGATTTTTAGTAGCATATTATACTACAGTTGCTAGCACAAAGACAACTAAACAATGAAGATACAACAGTGAGAGGAGCAGCAATCTCCCCTGTCTATGAGATCTTTTTCTCTGGAATGTTGTTTACTGGCTGTTTGTGAGCATAATTGGAATAGAGCCCACGGAAAGGTTTAAGTCACCATCGATGTATGGAAGAGCCAGTTTGGAGGAGGAAAAGGTCACGGCTAGAAAAGAAGGAAAAATTTGTATTTTAGCTTTTCTGAGGAAGGGTGGAAGCAACATCTAATTTTGACAACAAAATAAAACCATATAGGCTCATCACTTTTGGTAACAGTTTCCCAGGAAATACTTGTTGAATTAAGTTTTACGTAAGCTCAAATGCAGACAGATCATATACTCCTAAAACACAGAGATTATGTCTTGTTGGATGCCTGATGCAATACCTAGAAAAAAAGGAAGAGCAGATTCTGGGTAGTGTTTTCTTGCTCCTGTGAAACAAATGGTGCCAAACCACACTGGAGTTTGGTTATTTGAGGAGCTGTTTCATGGATCCAGAAATTTATTGCACGTTGATCTTAAGTGCTGTGTTGGCTTTTATGCCCCCTGTTTTCCTGGCGGTTCGGGAAAGAGTGAAACACCAAAGTCAACTTCAGATTTGACTCCAGCCCTTTTTTCCTTCCTTCTAAGTCCATCTAAGCATGTTTATTCTGGAAACAAAAGGCACGTTTCCAGTCTGGAGTGGCTGATAACTGGCTTGTGATCTCCTGACATAGTATTGTCTGCCAAGGGAAGCAGAAGGAAGCTGGTAGAGGTCGCCCCCATCTTTCTCTGAGCGGTCACGGGGAGCTGAGTGGCCCAGCTTACAAACACTGCGCCCACTCAGGTTTGCCTCTGGTTCTTCCACGCAGATTGCTCGTTTGTGTGTTTCGTCTCCTGCTTTTGTTAGAAAGCAAGATGATTGTCTATTTGAAGAAAAGTCTATGTGTGATATATATGGTGTGGTTTTTAAGGACACTTACTTAAACTAGGTCATCTTTTCTGGACAGACTGGGAAACTAATTCATAGCATAAAACATCCAACAACTTTCAAATCAGAGCCCACCACTAATTTAATAAAGATGAGTCAGACAGCAATAAATGCTGATAGCTTTCACTGGAGACCATATGACAAATTTTATTTCTTAGTATCATCTCTCATGTCATTCCTTCCTTGATTTCTTTACTGTTTTAGTGACACTAAATAAAGGTTTGGGATTTTTTTATTTTTGTTTTTTAAAGAAACAGGATCTTGCTACATTTATTGCCCTGGCTGGTAGCTATTCACAGGTGATCCTCCTTCCCGCCTCAGCCTCCCAAGTAGCTGGGACTACAGGTGCATGCCACCTAGCCCTGCTGACACTAGAGTTTTATAGAAAGACATGTATATTAAGTTATATTTAGTTTTACACTTTAGAACCAGTTCCTTAAAATTGGTAAAACAGAAAGCAACCTCTGGTGGCTTGGAAGGCCAACTTTTGCTAATCAGGAAAAGTGATGTATGTAGAACACCTTTTACAGGGCAGGGATTAAAAAAAAGATGCAGATGCTCTTATGATACTTAGCTGTGAATGTAATTCCAGCTATATTTTCTGTAGAGACAAAATATATTAAGCCAATGAGTTCTGCATGTGTTTTTCCCCAACATTTTATTATGGAATTTCTTAAACATACAGGAAAGTTGAAGGAATTTTACAGTAAACACCCATATACCTACCATCTACGTTCTACCATTAACATCTTGCATCCGTTTATGCAACTTACTTTTTATGCATTTCACAATAAGTTTATACATGTATTTTCATTTGTTAAAAACACCCACATGGAAACATGTAAAACAGCATAAAGAGAAACAAACCCACCAAAAAATGTGTCTTCTTTTGAACCCATTTATTCTAAATTGACAACTCAAGAATATAATACTCCAGTTG